AACAACACAGGCCCCAAACACTGGGGGCAAAACATATAGACTACCAGGTCATCAAAATAAAGGCCTCAATAGAATAAACGAAAGTAACGATAGACCAAGTGGGTGGACAAATAGACCTCCTCAGAATAACCAAGTGGGGACATCTCGAGGACCTTACCCTTAAAAGAACTACCCGACAGCACCTTTACAATGCCTATTGTGTAAAGGCCCCCACAAACTGTGCTACTGTCCTCATCGGCCTCTCTCAGTGCACTCCAAGTGTCCATTCAAGAGAGCAATGACACAGGAGTCGAGACTAGCCAGATAGGAGGGAAGATCAGGACAACCCCCAAATGGGTGCGCTTAAATTCTTGTCAGCCCTCCAACGGAAGGTCGACCCAAAAGAGATAATAGAGAAATGACTCATGTTCGTAGATGCAACAATAAACTCCCGACCAAGCAAGAGCACCTTGATAGACTCAGGTGCAATCCACAACTTCATCACCGACCAAGAAGCACAAAGATTGGGACTCACCATAGAAAAGGACCCCGGAAAAATGAAAGCTGTCAACTCCGAGGCCCTGCCTATTGTGGGAGTTTCCAAAAGAGTCTTCTTCAAATTAGGGACCTGGACAGGAGAAATGGACCTTGTCGTGGTTCGCATGGACGACTTCGACGTGGTACTTGGGATGGACTTCCTCCTAGAACACAAAGTTATCCCAATGCCACTGGCGAAATGCTTGGTGATCACCGACCACAACCCCACAGTGATACCTACAAGCATCAAGCAACCAGGTAATTTTAGAATGATTTTGGCCATACAATTGAAAAGAGGACTCGCATGAGAGGAACCTACATTTATGGCTATACCCTTGATGGAAGAAATGACCACTGAAGAAACTGTTCCAAGCGAAATCAAGGACGTACTAGACAGTTATGCTGACATAATGCTAGAGAGTTTACCACAAACACTACCACCCCGTCGAGGCATTGATCACGAAATTAAACTCCTCCCCATGGTTAAACCCCCAGCGAAGAACGCATACCAGATGGCTCCCCCTGAGCAAGCTGTATTGAGGAAACAACTAGATGAGTTGTTGACGGCAGGATTCATCCACCCGACAAAGGCACCTTACGGAGCCCCCGTACTATTTCAGAAAAAGAAGGATGGGACGTTGCGTCTGTGCATAGATTATAGAGCCTTAAACAAGGTGATGATACGCAACAAATACCCACTGCCGATAATATCCGACTTGTTTGACCAGCTTCACGGGGCCAAATATTTCACGAAGTTGGACTTATGATCAGGGTACTACCAAGTACGTATCGCCAAAGGGGACGAGCCCAAGACGATGTGTGTAACAAGATATGGAGCCTTTTAATTCCTAGTAATGCCCTTTGGTTTGAAAAATGCCCTAGCTACATTTTGCACGTTAATGAACTAGGTTTTCCACGAATACTTTGATTAGTTCGTCGTAGTATACCTCGAGACATAGTTATATACAACACAACCCTGGAGAAACACAAGGTGCACCTGAAGCTAGTGTTTGACATGTTGCGGCCGAATCAGTTGTACGTCAAGAAAGAAAAATGTGCCTTCGCACAAACATGTATCAACTTCCTTGGACATGTCATCAGTTGTGGATAGATTGGTATGGATAACAATAAGATAAAAGCTATCCAAGAGTGGAAAATCCCTACTTCAGTATCCGATGTGCGATCCTTCCTAGGATTGACAAACTACTATAGGCGGTTCATCGAAGGGTTTTCACGACGAGCCGTCCCATTAACTGAACTCCTGAAAAAAGACCACCCTTGGTCGTGGTCAAATGAATGTGAAATGACCTTTGAAGATCTAAAGGAAACATGATGAAGGGTCCTGTCCTCGGATCAGTAGATGTTACCTAAACCATTTGAAATAGAGATAGATGCATTTAACATTGCCCTAGGCGGTGTCCTTATTCAAGAAGGCCACCCCATCGCTTATGAAAGTAGAAAGCTCAATGATGCTGAAAGAAGGTACACTATCTCCGAAAAAGAAATGCTGACTGTGGTCCATTTGCCTACGAGTCTGGAGAAAGTACCTTTTGGGATCACAATTCGTAATGAAGATGGATAACATAGTCATTTGCCACTTCTTCGATCAACCGAAATTGACGGAAAAACAAGCCCAGTGGTAGGAGTCGTTGGCTGAATTCGACTTCAAATTTGAACACAAGGCAAGAAAGAGTAACCAAGCAGCCAACGAGCTGAGTCGGAAGGGCGAACATGCAGCCTTGTGCATTTTAGCCCATGTTCACTCAAGTAAGATCGATGGATCGATGCGCGACATCATGAAAGAACATTTACATAAAGACCCATCGGCCAAAGCCTTCGTTGAACTAGCCAAAGCTAGGAAGACAAGACAGTTTTGGGTCGAGGGAGACCTTCTAATGACAATGCAAAATAGATTACACATTCCAAGAACATGAGAACTGATGAAGAAGCTCATTCAGGAATGTCATGATACCTTATGAGCCGGACACCCTAGGTGGCAACAAACATATGCCTTAATAAAAAAGGGGTACTTCTAGCCAAATATGCAGGATGACATCATGCAGTACACCAAGACGCGCCTCATCTGCCAACAGGACAAAGTTGAGAAAGCCAAAGTCTCGGAACTCTTGGAACCTCTACTCGTGCCAACAAGGCCTTGGGAAAGTGTCTCTGGACTTCATAACACACCTCCCAAAAGTCAGGGAATATGATGCCATCTTGGTTGTCGTAGACCGATTCTCGAAATACACAACGTTCGTTCCCACTCCCAAATTTTGCTCAGCTTAACTAACAGTCCAACTATTTTTCAAACACATTGTAAAGTTATGAGGAATTCCATCGAGCATCATCGTCGATAGGGATGGTAGATTCATTGGCACATTCTGGACCGAGTTATTCGCTTTCTTGGGAACGACTTTAAACATCTACTCGAGTTATCATCCTCAAACCGATGGACAGACAGAATGGTTCAACTACTTGCTCGAAGAATACTTACGTCACTTCGCCGACGCTCGCCAGAAGAACTGGATACATCTGCTAGATGTCGGCCAATTCTGTTTCAATTGTCAGACGAGTTTGTCTACGAGAAAGAGCCCCTTCGAAATTGTAAGTGGACGACAATCAGCTTTGCCCCATATTATTGATCATCCTTATGCAAGAAAAACCCTCAAGCTCAAAATTTCACCAGAGAATGGAAGCGGACAACAGATATAGCCCGGGCATATTTGGAGAAAGCTTCCAAACATAACATATGAAGAAGTGGGCGGACAAAAAGTGTCGCCCACTCCAATTCCGAGTAGGAGACCAAGTCCTCATCAAGTTGAGACCAGAACAGATCAAATTCCGCAGCCGAAAGGACCAGAGACTAGTTCGAAAATATGAAGGCCCAGTTGAAGTCCTTAAAAAGATCAGGACTACTTCCTACAAAGTTGCACTACCCACATGGATGAAAATCTACCCAGTAATTCATGTGAGCAACTTGAAACCCTATCACCCTGACCCAGACGACGACCAGCAAAATGTAATCACTAAACCGAGCATCGATCTAAAACAAAGAGACACCAAAGAAATAGAGGAGATCCTAGCCGACAGAGTTAGGAAGATAGAAAGACCCATACTGAAGATTCGCGAATTCCTTGTCAAATGGAAGAATCTCCCTACAGAGGAAACCAGCTGAGAAAGCACCGAGATCTAGACTCCGCCGCCACCCACATCGCCAGGTTTGAAAGTAGTCGGTTGGCGGAGAAGTCAACCAATTAGGTGGGAGAGGATGTCACGGTCATGCTCATCCAAGGCGTGTTGCCCATGGTCGCATGCCCATGACAACCAAACTCTTATGTCTTTCCATATTCTAGTGTTTTACTTCTGTATTTTTAGGAAGGATGACGTTTCTGAAAAATCATGTCTAAGCCTGCCATACATGAAATGTCTCATAATGTACTAGGGGATATGACAAGTTGTCAACTTCTCCCTACCAAAAGTTATATACTATGAGCCGTTGTTGTTACTCTCTTACTTGCATATATAACTTTTCTTCAAAATCTCTCTTTCAAAAATCTCTCTCTCTCCTCTTTCTAAAATCTTCTTCTTAAACCGAGGCAAGAGGCTCGAGCATATGTCGCTTGACCGTAGACGACGTAAGAACGAATTGTCGTTGAAAAGTGAGTGCCGCACAATTGCAAGTCTGCTGCCATCAAAAGTGCGATTTAGACACAAGGCGGGTTGATCTGCAGGTGTGTTGATGCTGGGCGCAGATTTTGGGTCGAGAACACAGACGAGCTAAAGCAGAAACTGGCCCAGGTTTGCTGTGCTAATGAGCCGAGAACGCTAGCTACTTGCTGGGCTGAAGGCGCGCCTGGGTGGAATCCAAACCTGACTTGGTTTAGTCTGAGGCTGTGGTTCGGATTCTGTATCAGCCACCGAGCCTAACTTTTTCCAGATTTTTCCTTTTTCCTTCTTTCCACGTTTTCTATTTATTAGTTTTGTTCTAAGCAAGTGAGTTAGATAAAAAAAAATTGTGATTTTTTCTCCTTAATTACGCGTTTCTTTTGTTTTTAGGTATTTACGCATACATTTATAATGGTAGACCATATTTTTAACCCGTGAATTAAATGAGAAATAAAGTAAAGTAAAATTTGTTTTAAATAAGTGAATTAAAGGAGAAAAAGTGGCTCACTTCATAAAGTCGAGCAAGACAACTTTTCTTAAGACTAGAATGCTACCTCACTCGAACTCAAGACTTTTAGCCAGTCTTAATTGATTCTTGTCCCCGTTATTTTCTAACCCAACACTTGAATTCCTAGAACACAAATAATTCTTGATATTTATTTTTTGGTAAATATAAGACACTCCTAAAAATGATGGAGGCACTTCGTTATTTTTCTCTATTTTATAGGGTATGTTTTGGATTAATTTAAGAATTTTATTGTTCATAACATCATTTGTAAACTATTTAAAAGGAATGTTTTCGGCACAAAGAAAAAAGGTAACATCAATGATTGCATCAAATATAGAAAATTGGAGAATTTTGATAAAGAAAAAACAAGTTCCAAAACATATCTCTACACAGAAGAAACAAAAACCTTTTTGCTCTAAACCAAACGTCCTTAAATGAACACTTTATATGGCTATTTTGGAGGCCTTTTAACTGTAAGACACAAGAAATGGGAGGATTGTTGACATGAAATCTTCGTACGTCAGCATAGCCGAACCCGTGTAGTGCCTATCCTTCTCCTTGAATTTCTCGGTCAATCCCTGTAATTTTGCACGCATCGGTTTAGAAATGATATCACTTCAAACCATGTGCAGCTACTAACAATATGATAATGATACCCATGAACACCAAACGCTTTCAGTTTTACTTCAGCAAGGTTTATCGATAGTATTATTTAGTCGAGCAACGTGACGATATTAATGAAATCGGGAGTAAGAGGTCTTAAGTCTTACCTTTACTATCATGCCACATCTGCAGACAAGAAATAGACAATTCCAGAAATGTAAGTATCTCATAAAAAGCTAGAAGTATTAAACTATGCTCAAACACTTACTCGACGAAACTGCCGAAGTTAAATTCAACTCGACGCCCACTTTGATCATCGTAAAGTGATATTAGAAGTTTGAGGACTGAAGATGGGACTGCATAGCCAAGACCATAAAGTGCATCCCTCATTTCTAACGCATCAATTTTCCCACTTCTATCTCGATCATATCGCTCGAACGTGCCCTGAAAATGAGAGTTCTTTAGTCTCAATCAAAGGTCCGAAGGAATTCTGAAAGTAAATAAACAAAAGGAATGGAAAAGGCAAATAAAACTCAAACGTGTTCGATATACAACCTGGAACTGTCTTTATTAAATTAAAAGGTTGCTCTGTCGTTTCGTTTTCTTCTTATCTACCCTCTTTCGTCAAACCTCTAGAAAGCCTTATCCTAAAAACATCCTTAAATTTTGGAAAAAAAAACGGTACATCAACTATACATGTTTCATGCGCTTCTATATTGTTCTGCAAGTAGCTGTAGAAGCAAGAGAGTTTTGCTTTCTGAATGAAAGAACAAAATGCAGAAAAATCAACAAATTGGATCAACTAAAATACTTTTCTGTTATCTAATATTATTATGGTACTCCATCACAAGTTAATTTGAAACGGCCTAAGTCCTCCACTATCAGAAATTGTCCTTTTTAGACTTTACTTTCTGAGCTTCCCCTCAAGGTTTAAAACGCGTATGCTAGAGAGAGGTTTCCACACCTTTGAAAAGAATGCTTTGTTTCCCTCTCCAGCCGACGTGGAATCTCACAATTCACCCCCTTCAGGGCCCAGTGTCCTCGTTGTCATTCATTTCTCTCTCCAATCGATGTGGGATCTCACAATCCACTTCCCTTCGGGGTCCGGCGTCATTGCTAGCACACCATCCGGTGTCCACTCTCCTTCGAGCTCACCGTCCTTGTTGGCACATCGCCCAGGGTCTGGCTCTGGTACCATTGATTGTAAGATCTCACATCGGTTGGAGAGGGGAACGAAACATTCTTTACAGGGGTGTGGAAACCTTTGTCTAGCATACGCGTTTTAAAATCTTGAGGAGAAATCCAAAAGGGAAAGCACAAGCAGTGGAATTGGTCGTTACATTATTAGTCAGCATTACACCCAACAATTATTTTTTCACACAACAGACCACATAAGAACATTTAAAACCAACAATCTACTCATCACTTTAAGAAGTTTCAGCAAAAACAGATAAATTATGAGGCCAAAATGAAGAAGAGAGAGGGAAACCACACAATCACAACATTACTCACACGCCATTGCCCAAGACAGTTCCACAAAGCTGTAAACTCATTAGGCCCTGCAACAGCCGATTCAGACACACATTGTTAAGTAAAAGGCACCACCAAACTCAGTCAATGTTCGAATATATTCAAAACAACCAAAATTGAGGACTCCATATAGAATGAAGCTGAATTCCTATTCAAATTTAACAACATGGGTTTTCATTTTCAATTTACATTTATTCACAATCTATTCCCCTTAGTTTGATACAGGGCAAACAAGACAATCGTTACCCATTGAGCCTCCAAGAAAGGCAATGAACAGGACAAAATTAAACAGAGATTTCAGTCTAAATAACGATCTCAACCGAGCTCGATTGCATCCAAGATTGAACAGATAGTAAGAAACTCACCCATTCTGGAGGAATCAACCGGATTTCTGAACAAAAAAATGAGCAAACGAACGGTTCTAAGACTAAATCTCTGGTAGCCAGAAGAAAGAGCTTGCTGCAATTCATTCTCATCAATGAACCCACTTCCATCCCTATCCACCATTTGGAAGCTCCTAATTACCTCAGGGGGGGTCCCAGGTGGAAAACCATAAGACCCATATGAAGAAACCCCACCATAATTAGACCCATAAGGCTGCGGCGGATGGTGTTCGGAGAAATACGGCGAAGCGGTCTCATGAGAATGTTCATGGCCGTGGGCTTCTGGTGCCGATGGCGCGTACGGTGCAGATGGAGCATGGGAATTGGAATTGGAGCTGGAACTGGAATGGGATGTGAATCTACCAAAGAAGGATGCCATTGATGGCCAAAAAGAAGAGAGGATGAACAGAAGATGGGATCAGAAAAAGCAAAGAATCAGATGGGGTAATCGAATCCGGGAGCTTCGAAACGGTGGCAGAGAAAGCAACTTTCGTTCGGTTTTGTGTTTATCGGCTCGCAATGAAAAGATCGAAAAAGACGAAGATAAAATATTAAAATAATAATAATATCAATAAATTTTATAAACTTCAAAAATATTATAAAAATAATTAACACTTTATTTAAAAAAAATATCATAACAAAAAAAAAATGTTTTCAAAACGGGATAAACACAACCTAGGCTTGGCGTGACTCTATATGACGCTCCAAATCCACTTCGAGCTCTTATTTGTTACTTGAAAAACATAATAATTGGGATGAGTAGAAAGACTTAGTAAATAGCCTACTTCAAGCTCTTAATATTGTCCTTAAGGTATGTTAGGATACAACAGTTCATGTTTTTGTTTGAGAACTTAGACCATTAGGTTCTACTCTTGAGTTTTTGTCATGTTCTAGCCGAAGGATCTTGGTCCTAGGTTCTAAGTTCTTAATCTTATTTCTGATTAAAGGACCTTAGTTTTGAGTTTCTTGGTCGTACATGCTTGCATTCCCACCAAACCTATCTGTCGTATACAATATATTGCATGTGTCTATCTTACGAAAGTACATGTCCGACCCTACTCATGTGATAGCACATGAGACACTCTCCTCAAGAGAGGACTTAACCTAGGAAGAGAAGCTGATATAGGTATTGGTTAGAAAAGCCAAGAAGCTAAAGAACAAGGAGATCGATCTAATAAAAGTTCTATTCGAATTACCTTGTTGATTGAATATCTCAAGGTAAGACGCTTGTTTGAGATTCGAATCACTCCATAAACAAGATTGATCATGTCGAGCTTGAATGATTCTACGTGCAACCTAAACTACATAGAACTACAAACAAACTTAATCATTGGCTAAAGAAAACACAAATGTTTCTTTTACTATGTTTTCGAAGTCTACTCACAAATACAACATACAAGACTTTATATAGCCTCAAAATGAAACTATTGACCTTACCTTGAGACATTTCAAAAGTTTGTAACATTCATACTTTATAAGCACAAAATCCACTAAATCTTAAAATCTAGCCGTTAGATTTCCTTCAAATTTGGATATGATCTTGAATGTCCATAGCTCATCACATCCGTGGAATTCAAAGATGAAGTCGGTGAGGCCCTGATCGGAGAAGATGTTTTTTATGGAGGTTTAAAAAAATCTGAACCTTGAAATCATGAAGATTTTGAGTGTTTCAAGGACGGTGAATCCTTCCTCTATAAATTATGAATTGTGGGCAAACATTTAGAATAAGAATCGAGCGAAACTGAGTCTCCAATAAAGAGTTATAGCCTTTTAGTTTTTGGATTTCATATTCTTGGATTTATTCCAAGTGTGAAAGTTGTGGTTCACCAATTCTCTTCAAACTTGTTCTTATACCTTCTAAATCAAGTTGCCAATAACTTTGGTCGAGAAACCAAGCATTGAAAGTGTCTCTAACCTAAACCCCTAAAATGATCGCCATTAAAGAAGCTTGAGGAAGAACTTGGAGATCTAATTTGGGGCGGCACAGAAATACGTTGCGTAAGGTCTGTGCCATTTGATTTCTGCACTCTCAAGGATAAACTTTGTTGAAGACCATGAAGGGAGTCGAGCTCAGGAACGCTCCCAATTGAAGGAAATTGCTTTTGAGTAAGTTTTGGGATAAAGCTCAAATCCTTATTTCTAGTCCATTTCATTCAAATCTAAGTATTCCATTAGTTTCTGGGGACTAAATAGAGAATTCTTGAACAAGGAGTCGAAGGCTAACTTGTCTTAGATATAGTTGCCCAATAAAGTCAAATTCTAAACTTCAAAATTTGCCTGAACACATAAATTTGTCCTCCCAAAACTATTTCTTGAGAGATTGTCATGACCATACTATGAATACAGTAGATTGTGACACCCACATGCAGACAGATAAGGCAGTGACATGGAAGTGGTGCTCAATCGATAAAATGAAGGTTGAAACAAGACAAATATCATACAGTTGATGAAGAACCTAGTCTATCATTTAAAGATAAAACACATTAGAAAATAATATCTTTCAATTGCAAATAAGTGAAAGAAGGTGATATGTATTTTAAGAAAATAGAGGGTGCATCTAGCCGACATGTTGACAAAATGTGTTGATATTGAAAAATTGAGGTTAAGCAAAGTCTTAATTGGTCTTTCTGTAGCTTCTGTAGATGTTGCAATGAGGTGATTATATTGATGACAAGGAGAATCTTTTGAGAATGAATTCTAAACCGATTGGATCAATCTCCGAGTAAGAGAATCGTTAGGTTGTGGAGCTTAATGTTTACTTTTTGGGTTAAGTTTACTCAATAGTTAAGAAAACTTTAATTAATCTTTATCTTACCGGATCTTATTTATTTTTTTATTTAGTTTCTATGTTATCCTAGTTTGAGGATGATTCTTATTTCCTTATTTGGTTTCTAAGACTTGGAGTTTTGTTTATCACGATGTCTCCATGTATATTTCTCCTCTCATCTTCTCTCTCTTGTTTTTTATTTTCTTCGTCTAGATCGAGTATCTGAGTTGTGCGATCCTCACTCACACCTGTAGCATAACATAGGGTGCTACTCAGGGAGCTCTTGTTGCACTTAGTGGCGAGCCTACCTTACACTATTGAGAGAATAAAAAATGGTGCTTAGTAGGGAGTTTGCTGGGTACCATTAAGTGAGCACCGACTAATGCTCAATAGTAGACATTATGGACCTATTAAGAGGGGGTGCTATGTAGAGTGATATGATCCATATATGGATTCTAAGAGTCTAAGATCGATGAGGATATCCCTATTCTCGTTTGCATATCACGTGAGGACTGAGGACTTAAACAGACCAATAAGATTAGTAATTGAGTAGCTAAGAGTAGCTAAGTATACATGTCTGGATGATTGTTATAGATTTTGTCCATACATCTCATAATTTTAATAATTTTGTGAACTCTTTTGCATAACTCATATCAGATTGCCTTTGAATATTTATTAAATTTAAGCATTCGCTTATGAAATGTGTTTTAAAAATGAAAATCTTTATCGGTCTTTTCACCTTAGTTTTAGTACATGACGGTCCATAATTTCATGCTTCAAAAAATGGGTTGTTGCAATATTAGAAGTTTTTATAAAATTTTGTATCATTTAGATACGAATCTCTTAGTTGAAAAACTAACAAAGATTTGTACGGGAGCAGAAGTTGAAGAATTTCTCAGGAATCCTACCTCTTTTAGACAAGACTTGACTTTTTCTTTTTGAAGCAGACCGACAATCAGATCTTCGTCGTTCGCCCATCAATAAATGAGATATACCTTTTTCGAGGGGCCGCGGTCAACCATCCACATGCATTAAACTATGTGTCTATTTGTTATCCAACCTTCCCATTTGTCGAGTGCCCTGCCCGGTTCACTAGGCTGTGCGCAAATTTGTACCCAGTTACATAGTATATGGGAGAGCATCTCTTTACAGTAAAGAGTACTGATTCACATCAAATTCACTTCATTTGACATAATATTGGAAATATGAGCTGATTCTCATATGCTCTAGGATTGAAAGTTAGGTATCTAAAACAAAAAAAAATCTCCCATCTGATGTGGGTTTGCTTTAATCTCATAATATTTCTAAACCAACAACAATTTTGATGTAAATATAGTTTCCAAATTGATTATGGAGGAGAGATATCATGTTAAGGATCGTTAGGAGAAGAGTTCCACATTGGACAAAGTCATGTCAATATCATACCATTATGGAGATTCGTGGTTTCTAACATGGTATACGAGTCATGCCCTTAACTTAGTTATGTCAAAAGAATCTTCAAATGTCAAATAAAGAAGTTATGAGCCTCTAAAGAGTAGTCAAAAGTGACTCAAGTGTCAACAAATGGTATATTTTGTTCGAAGGCTCTAGAGAAGAAGTTAAGCCTCGATTAAGAGGAGGTTGTTCGAGGAAGCTCTATGGTGTAGAGTAGCACCCGAATATTTTAAAAAAAAAACAATAGGATTAAAATCAAGAGAGGGGCAAATAGGTAAGTTTGTCCATCCAACCATAATAGGGGTCCTTGAAACCCTAGTACATAGCTGCAAAGGAAGAAAAATGTAGAGAGAGAAAGTTTGGGAGCGAGAGCAAGAAAACCGCCGCCAGAAATCTCATCGAACCACCATGAGAGTCGTCTCCAGCCACGATCTAATGACAACGACTTATTCTTGGAAGGAAGAAGAAGATATTGGCGTTCGGAGTCCCATTTTCTGTCTCTAATGACAAGGACTTCTTCTTCCAAGAAGAAGATGTTGGCATTCGGAGTCCCATTTTCCATCAAGAGATCGAGAAAATCTACAAGGTAAGATCTTGATCGTTTTTCTCATATCTAAAACTCTCTGTTGAATCAAGGTCTAAACTTTTGATATGTTCGTCTAGAGGGAATTCTCCACAAGATTCACGAAGAAAACTAGTTGGAATTTTGGTCCGAAGGCGAAGATTTGAGCCGATTTCCAAGAACGGAGGAGAGAGAAAATTTTATGGCGAGTCACATGTCAACCGGCGAGAGGAGCACGTCGGCGAAAAAGTGACACGTGTCACTCAATGCATGGAGTAGCGCGTCACACACAGAGTGGAGCGACGCGACTCCATACAACCGTCGACACACAGAAACTCCAGCCGACCCGCGACTAGAGAATCCGATCCGAGCATGACACACGCGCGGGACACCTGCGACTAGACTTCTTCTGGGCGCTGACAGTGCGTGGAAGCGCGTGAGTTTCTGTTTTCCATCTGTCCGACTTCTGTTTGCCTGATTTCTGTTCCAATTCCAATTCTAATGATGTTTTTATGAGAATAGGGACCCAATTGAGGAAAATCAATATTTTTGCACAACTTACGAGCATAGAAAAGCTAGCGAAAGGGCACACATCAACCAGATAAGTCACCACCCGATATTTAGGAAGAAATACTAGGATTCGCTTGGATTGCATGCATGCTAGTACATTTGCCTTAGATTAGCTTTCCATGAATGAGATTAGGTATATCGATTGTTATGAGCGTATTGGGTGAATTATATGGGTGTT